GTACCAAAATATGCCTTTATAAACTAAACATGACGAAACTATTTACTTCTCAAACAATTTATTTTCTCAAAAACATTTTAGATACACTCTAGTCGTAAAAAATACATATTTGAAATCACTTAGACCTATAACTGATAGAACATATGAACAAATAAACAATGTGCGAATAAATGCGCGAAGTTAACAACGCAAAAATTGAAAGATTACCATTGGGTAACATCACCTTTTTTTTATTACGGCTGAAATTCTTTGGGGCATAGTGTTAACCAAGTTTTGGCGAACATTTGGTGTAAAACAATCCCATATTTCTTGAAGCTTTTGTCTCAGTTCGGTGATTGAACGAGCAGGATGTTGTCGTAGAACCTTTTTCATCTCGTGTCACAAAGTTTCAATAGGTGACATATCTGGACTGCTAGAAACCCATTTCAAAAGTGGTACATTATTTTCTTCCATCCATTTTACAGCCTTTTTTGAGGTATGGCACGCTGCACCATCTTGGCGTGACTAGCACTATCCTTCACTTTCGGGACACATATATTTTTACAGTTATTAAAAAGTCGCGCTGAGATATTATGAATAACTTTGTCTGTTATTTTTTTGGAATAATTGCTTCGTTTCTAAAACGAAAAACCGTCGTATTAAATTTTATAAATACGTGCGACAGCCAAGGTCTTGGAAAGACAGAGCTACCGCAGTAAAGTAAAAGGTAAACGAACTCGTACTTCCTGCCTAAGACCCGTTTAATGTTCTGACTAATTAATGATATGCTAGGTGCCAATCATCCTGATGCGATTTAAATTCAAATGTCGCAGGATGCACACTCTTTCACAGATCGAGTACCGAAAAAAAAATGTCTAGACCATAAAATGGTCGGAGGAACCAACATTTTTTTTAAACAAGTTGATGTTAACATGTTAAGGACACTGTGCCCAATTAGGTGAACATACAAAAAAAACTTCTTATCCCAGTGTCTGATATGTAATTTTTTAGTTTCTGTGGACTCTTGGGGCACATAACTTCTGAAACTTATCCTGTGGTTTTCATGTCGATAATCCCGCATTATGTCCTATAAAACCACATGTACGAGTATTTCAAATACTACATTAAAGAGGACTTTAAAGTGCATGTGGTTTCATTGGATAGACAAACATGGCGGATCTCTCTCGAGGCTTCCCGTATAAAAAAAACTTAAAACAATATTTTAATGAACCATCGTGAAAAATCTCTATCATGTTTAGCTGCACTTGAAACGTAGAACCGCCTATTATTAAACGATATTGAGAAAAACAAAAAATGTATCTACTGTTCGTCAATCTCTTACAATACGTTGGTAACAACGATGTAACAGGTAAATCAACAGTTTCTAATTAATATTCTCGTCTTCACTCCTCGCCACTCTCACAGCTGCAGTGTTTACAGACGACTCGAATAAATTATCTGGAAAATGAAGTGTTAAATATTATGAGCAGGCACATCTGCTGTACGAGGTGATTCAATCTAGGCATTACTATGTCACCAGGGATGTTTTGTCATGTCCGCCCGGAGGTGTTGGTTGTCGTCGAACCTGTAAGACTGACCAACCGATAACTTTGCCGCTCTAAAGCGATAAAGTGGCGGAAACGCTCGCTAATCATCAGCCGGCATGGTTACCTGGGTAAAAGTCGACCTTGTCTATACAAGTGTATTGTTCAAAAACTAATTTTTCAAACTACTTTGTATAAGGTTGTCCAAAATGGACGCAGGAAAGTAAACGCATATTAAAACAAGAAAGATTGATATACAAATCAAGTTGGGTACTTTATTTTGAAGGTTTATTTATACTATTTATGTATGAAAAATAATATCGCTCAAATGTTCACCACGACTGGATTTACAGACGTCCACGTGATGGTCGAAATTTTCAATGATATTTTGCAACAAAGTCGGTTCTATGGCATTTATCTCGGCAATGATGTTGTTTTTGAGTTCTTAGAGGGTGGCTGGTTTGTTGACGTAGACTTTGCTTTTCAAATATCCCCATAAAAAGAAGTCCAAGGGAGTCAAATCGCGAAATCAAGAAGGACTGCAATCGATGGATATTGACGTTGGTTGTGTGGCATGTTGCACCGTCTTGTTGGAAATAAACATCGTCCATATCCATTCCTTCAAGTTGCGGTAAAAAATAGTCCTCTATCATCACGTGATATCGCTCAGAATTGACGGTAACGACGTCCCCGGCCGCATTTTCGAAAAAGTAAGGTCCGATGATGCCTTTTGACCACAATGCGCACCACACAGTCACTTTTTGAGGATGCATCGGCTGCTCTTGATTGTCACCGGGATTTTCGTTCGCCCAGATGCGGCAGTTTTGCTTGTTTACCGTCACATTCAAAGTGAAATGCGCTTCGTCGCTGAACATGATTTTTGATGAAAAATTGGCATCAATTTGGCGGTGTTCAAGGAGCCAATCCGAGAACGTTCGGCGCGAAAAATGGTCGGCCCGACGCAGCTCTTGCGTCAATTGGATCTTGTAGGCGTGTACATTCAAATCCTTGTGGATAATGCGGAACAAACTGGTTCTCGAAATGCCCAATTCTTGGGATCGACGCGTTGTTGATTGTTTCGGATCGTCTCTCACACTCCCCTTCACAACAGCAATATTTTCCGGTGTGCGAACGCTCCTTGGCCGGCCAGAGCCTGGCAGATTTGCCACAGAACCTGTTGCCTCGAATTTACGCACCAGATGACCGACGGTTGTTTCGTTTGGGCGGTTTTTGCGACCGAAATGTTCACGAAGCGCGCGAAACGTGTTTTTTATTTTTACACCATTTTTCTAGTGCTCTTGAATAACTTTAATGCGGTCTTCCATCGAATACGACTCCATAGCGATCAATGGTAAACATTCATCGAACAAAATGACATGTCGGTGACAGAAAACAAAGATGGCGTCTATGTCAAATTGACGTTTACTTTCCTGCGTCCCTATTGGACAACCCTATACCTGCGCCTTAAAATGATTAAAAAGATGAAATGCGACCAAACAAATCGGCCACTGAAAAAAAAACAAAAGCTGTAGATTCGCAGTTTAGAAAGTTTTTTTTGTACTTAAAGATACATAAACCTTTTAAGTTCGAAAATGTTGATCATTATAGGATTTACACTCCCAGATTTCAGTAATTCCCTACAATCAACAAGACTTCCAGACGAATAAAGTTTTGGATCAGAATTGACTTATAAAATCGCCAAAAATAAACATCCGAAATTTCCTTCTGATCAATCTTGCAAAGAGACGAGTATTTACTACAATAATTGCTACCTATTTTTTTATTCACCCAGTGTCAAATTCTGATAAAATTCACTATTTTTCTGTGACGGGAAAATAGTTTGACATTTTATCCGTGTTGTAACAAAATGTCACTTTTTATGAAGTACCTTTCCGGATATTGTATCAACACATAAGCAAAGGTAGATATTTAATTTTAGAATATTTTATCATACAATAAAGTTACATTTCCTTTATATCGAAAGTACAATTATTAAATGTGCACTGCATGAATGACACGTTCCTTAAACTATTCGGTACAACAGTCGAATTGTGTTGTGTTGAAATTATACTAAGTGACATATAAATCCGAACACCCAGTTTAAATGGTTTTATTTTAATAAAATTTTGTATAAGTACTTAATGAAGCATAATAAGTAAATGATAAAAATTTCAAAATGATTGCACTGCTTTAAAGTCCTTTGACTTTTAATAATGTGTGGATGCAACCTGATGTGCTACGCATCCTCCCACGCGCCTAGGCATGCTTCTGATCAGGTGGTCAATGTCCTCCTGTGGTATCTCATTCCAGGCAACCACTAACTCCTCTCGAAGTGCTTCTAGAGTCTGAGGAGGACGTTGCAAATTGAGCATCATCATATCCCACACGTGCTCAATTGTGGATAAGTCGGGAGATCTTGGTGGCCATGGTAACAATGTGACATCATTATGTTGAAAGAAGTCTATTGTGACTCTTGCAACATGTGGCCGCGCATTATCTTGTTGGAAAGTTGGATCTGCCAGGGTGTCAAGATAGGGTAAAAGATGGGGTTCTAGAACTTCGTGGATATAACGCTGCGCGTTCATGTTACCTCTGATGAAGATTAAGGTGACCTGGAACCATAAGCTATAGCACCCCAAACCATAACTCCAACAGTGTGATGAACATGTCTTTCAACAAAAAACTGTGGATTCCTCCTTTCACCACGTCGCCTTCTAACCCTGGCACGACCATCGTGCATGCCTAAACAAAATCGAGACTCGTCCCTAAAGACAATACTGTTCCATTCCTGATCCCAGAGTGACCGTTGTCTGCACCACTCAAGGCGATTACGTCGGTGTTCTCGAGTTAAAGGGAGGACCCAGTGTGGCCGGTATGAAAACAAGCCAAAACTTCCCATTCGTCGGTTAACACTTCGCATGCCAATAGGTCTTCCGTGTTCTGCAAACCATTCATTTGCAATGGACCTGGTAGTGGAGAAACGGTCCCTTAAGGCCAATAATTTTAGGCAGCGATCTTCACGGTCTGTTGTTCTACGGCGGCGTCCAGTGCCCCTTGCTCTTTGCGTACGGCCTTCTCGAAGCCATGCCTGACAACACCTAACCACAGTGTCTACACTTCTTTGCACTCTAACTGCAATTGCCCGAAAAGAAAGTCCAGCTTCCCGAAGTCCCACTATACGGCCCCTATCAAACTCACTAAGTTGACGAAATCGTACAGGTCTCCGTACTCTAGGCATCGTAACCGATTGTAAAGGATGTCAAGAACCAAAATCCGCCAACGTTGATTCTTTACTGCGGCTGAAATATTCATTTTTAGAGCGTTAGTGAATTAAAAAAAAGCAGTATAAAAACCGGAATGTCCAACTGATAAGGCTAAGAAAATTTTTTCACTTGTTATTTACAGTAAGATAAATACATTCACCAACTTTTATTAAAATAAAACCATTTAAACTGGGTGTTCGGATTTATATGTCACTTAGTATATATGTTTTTCTGCCATCACAACTCCCGTTGATGTACTTGGTCGCAAATCCGGTGTTATTTCAGCACTACCACACGTTCTAAACACTTTATCAGCTATTTCTGTCCTGTGTGCTACCGATTCATCAACATACCTTTCAGCGACCGTTGACGAATTCCAACCGCCATGTTTCTTTAGTTGAGGAAAATTAGCCATTGTTTCGGGAACCTTATGAGACTGTTTTTTACCCACAACCTGATTGATTAATAACGTTCCCGAATCTTCAATATCATCTAATGTTACCTGGTTGATTTCACAAGTTCGACAAGCTCCTGCAATCTCAAATACCACGACAACCTTGGTCATTAAATAAACTTGATCGGGAGCATTATTTAAAAAATCGCTAATTTGTGTACTCGTAAAAATCGCAGCTTCTTCGGGCTTGTAACCTTTCCCATTTTATTTCAGAAATGTAATTAGTTTCTAATATTTTGATATGTCTACGTTATTATTGGATCGTAACATAATTTTAATCATTGAATCAGTTTACCACAATGTTGATGGCTTTTGTTGTTGTGTCAGTTCCGAAAAATAAACCGTTAACAGCGTCTCCGACAAGGAACTGCATGTTTCTTTCGTCTTCCATTCCATGAATCATCGAGGTTTCGTAAATTTTCCGCGATTTAGCTTGCAATAATTTTTGTGGCACTACTTTGGCTACTTCTACTAACTCTGGTGGAGTCAAAGAAAACTCGGAATCAGACATTTTTTACTTTATAGTTCACAATTTTTAAATTAAATCACAAAATTCAATTGACAGCTATTTGATTACTTTAAAAGTTTCCTTAGCAACAGAGGTCTAATTATCGCTATAAGTACAACAAAGCCTACTAATGTCGAAATTCAAATTTCACATCGATAATTTTCTGAATTAAATATTGTAATAATATCAAATCGTAATTTTTCCCGTCACAGAAAAAAATTGTGTATTATACACGCGCAGCGTCGGGAGACAATACAACCTCAAGCTAAAATCTAGTAGTAGTGTTTAATTTTTTTTTCGAAAGTGCATTCGTACACTGACCAAATTTGTTTAATAATTTCAATAGTTGAGTACTGAGTATAAAACAACTGCCTCAACTTTCTACAAACACATACAGTAATGGAGAAAAGTATATAGACAAATATGAATATTTACCTAAATACCTAGAAACGATTCATACTTCATTGCTCCATAAAGAAACGCGTTATTAGTAGAAAAACTAAATTCCTTGTTTTTTCATTATCTGCAATGAACACAATACAAGTCTGAATATAAGCAAAAATATGTAGACAAATTCTTTTCAACATTAGTTTAGTACAGTTTCGTGTTAGAAGAGGATTAGTTTGTATTGTGGAATAAGTTGAGTAATTTTAAGACCATGCCGCGTGGTCCAAAAATTTCTTTCGATGTGAAAACTAAAATCATTGAGTTATACAAAGATGGTCAACGTCAAGTAGACATTGCCAAAAATTTGAAGCTGAAGCGTAAAGCAGTTTGGGCAATGTTGAACAAATATAAACAAAAAGGTATCTTGGAAGCATCTAAGAGAAGTGGTCGGCCTAGAAAACTAAATGCTAGATCAGTTAGATTAATAAAAGTAATTTCGTCCAAACAGCCGTTTAAAACCCCAAGACAAATAAAAGCCGAAATCGAGGCAAAAGGAATTGTCAGTGTTTCTACGCAAATTATAAGTAGAAGATTAAATGATTTGAAGTTATTTGCACGTCGCGTCCCCCGAGTAAGAAGCCGATTACAATTTGCACGGTTGCATCTTTATTGGAGCATCTGTGACTGGAAGAGGGTATGTTTCAGTGACGAATCCAAGTTCAATATGTTTGGATCAGATGGTGTTCATTACGTTAGACGTCTTAGTGGACAAAGATTGAACCCCAAGTACATTTCGCCCACTGTCAAACATGGAGGCGGGTCTGTTATGGTTCGGGGTTGCTTTTCGGGGTTTGGGATGGGACCTTTACATAGAATAGATGGCATTATGGAAAAGTTTGTATACACAGACATACTAAAGCCCTGTATGGAAGACAATATGCCCTTAAGATCAATCTTCCAGCAAGATAATGACCCGAAGCACACTTCAAATCTCACAAATAAATTCTTTCTGGATGACAAAATACCAGTATTCAAATGGCCTTCACAGTCTCCCGATATAAGCCCCATTGAAAATCTATGGGAATACTTAGATAAGCAAATACGAGATAAAAATTATTCAAACAAGTATGAACTTGCGTTAGATCAAAAGTGGAGACAGATTGATGAATCTTACATCAAGAAACTTCTACAATCTATGCCGTGACGATGCCAGGCGGTGATTGATAATAATGGTTATGCTACAAAATATTAACGCAAATATTGCTGTTTGTCTACAATCCAATGAACTTTGCTTCTTTTTTCTATAATTGTTTTGCTTTGTCTACATATTTTTGTCCTTCATAGTCCCAGTTTTTTTCAATTAATTTTTGATTGAGGGGAAATTTATTTATGTATAAGTGAGTATTATGCTATAAATAATTACGTAGTTGGTGTATTAATAAAACAAGTTAAAAAAGAAATACAGTACAATATTAATTTGTCTATATACTTTTGTCCATTCCTGTATATAGACGGCAATGCACAAAAAATATCCTATGAGCTGCTATCAAATTTTCATTGGCCGAGCAGTACCCGATAGAAGTAAAAAGAATGAATCTCTATATACGCCTATCGCAAAAACGAGGACTCGTTCTACTGCTCTTATCTCGCTTACGTCGACGCCCACTTCTGTAATCAGCCAAACAGCGGCAGCCAATAAGAAAATAAGATCGTCCTTCATAAAATGTTTTTGCTTTTCGACTTATTTACGTTGCTGATAAATGTACGTATGCTGGCTCGGCGGCCAAGCAGGTTTCTTCTATACAGTTTTTTGTAACTCGAGAAGGTACTTTTCTGCATTTTCTATGCACCCTATATTTGAGAGTATATGAGAGAAACATTATAAATCGTGATAACCGGTGTTGCAAAAAAAAAAACACGTAGAATAAACCCTGAAAATTACAGCTTGCTACGATAAGTGCTTCCCTTAAAAAACCTGTATGTGAAATTCTATTTTACGAGCTATAGTGCAATCAACTTGATGGATTTTGACATATGAGGTACTGTTACATTCGTTCTAGTAGTGCGGGTGGTACTGTGTGCATTAACATTTTGTAAAATCAAAATGGCGGATTTTTCACGCAAATAGCCAAATCAGCTTAATGAGCTTGGGAATTTAACTCAGTATTCCAGGTGCGGAAGCGTTCCATCTTCGGACCGACCAAGTCAGGCAATGTTCCAGCGCGGAATTTGTATCTAACGTTTGGCATCTGAGTAGAATCATGTCAGATTATGCAGAAATGCATTACTATTATGGTGCTGCCCTAGGAAATGCTCGAGCAGCTGCTCGCATGTACCGGGAGTATGTGGTTAGAACAGGTGGACCCCAACCGGTATGTCCCAACTACCGCGTTTTTCTACGCGTCCATAATGCGTATACTAGGCACTTATTGTCAGCTAGGATACGCCCAGAAGAAATAGAATATGACTTCGAAGTTGAGTCATTTATTTTAACAGTGAGTAGATCTGATCAAAAGAAATGTTTTTTTCCTTTAACATTTTTCTGGTAAAATTAAAGTAACAAAGTTATAGTCCTTTAGAAGTTTGAGTACCGCCCTGTCTCAATAATAATATTATGTGCTCGTGTTTGGCAACAACGGATATAATCCGCCTTATCGGTTCATCGCATCGGAAACAAAAAAGCGAATGAATTTGAAACGCTTATCACGATGTTTTTACTACAATTTTATTCAGTTGTATTCACTCAATGTGTCAGTCGGTAACGCGTGAGTGAATAGTGGTGTTTGTTGCGTGTTGCTCAAGCGAAATAAAAAATGGCACATGTTTACGAAAATGCTGAACTTGTGGACATTATTCTTATTTACGGCCGGGGGGAGGGGGGTTCTCTACAAAATGCTGCCGCGGCATCACGGATTTATGCGGATCGATTTCCCAATACTTGTCGGGAGGATACTTTATAAAACAAGGTAACATTTTTTTTTAATTTTTTTTTATTTTTACACACATATTTTGGTTTATCTTCCTTCTACAATCATTATCTGAAAATTAATGACTCAACCTCAAAGTCACCCTGTATAATAGAAGCAGCCGAGAGAGATCTCTCTATAAGCACCACAGCCATTGCCCAAAGCAGCAACATATCCCCATACTCCAGTGTACACAATACTACGCTCGGAGAACATGCATCCTTACCATATACAAAAAGTACAAGGATCGCCTCCTATGCTTCCTATGCAGAACGGGTTGAATTTTGTGAGAATATGTTGAGAAGTTGCGAAGAGGATGAAACTTTTTTCGGCAACATCTTATGGACAGATGAACCTAACTTTAACCGAAATGGAATATTCACCATGCACAATTTCCATTAATGGAGCATAGAAAATCCGCACGCTATTCGCCGACAGAGCTTTCAACGTCAGTTCGGAGCTAATTTTACACCCTATATATCATTTGATTCCTACCATCCGAGTAACTCACGTCGTGTCTATAACCTAAAAGACATTCAGACGGTACCGATTACAGAAGATAAGCGAAGCATTCCAAGTTGATGGCGGGTCCAAAGAGGCGGCCCAGCTTAGCATCCAAATGAACGAAATTATGAATGCTTTCTTTGGTGTGTTTCATCACGATGGAAAGGGAAATGAAACGGCGGCTGGTTTTGTAACCAGTTCACGAGGAACATTGGACAGCCGGCCGTCGGTTTTAGCGGTCAAGGTCGTTTACACTGACAATTGAGAAAGGAACAAGTTGAATTTTATGGTTTATATAATATGTGGTCATATGCATTCTTTGTATTGTTGTTGCCCACGGAATCTAAGATCTATCAATTCATTTAACATGAGCCCGAGTATATTTGAATTTTTTTATATAAGAAGACTTCTTATTAAATAGACGTATTTAGATTTCTGTCCTATATAAACCTACCTACAAGGTCCATCAGTGGCACATGTATAGATCACTGCTTTGTGAAAGACCTATCCAACAAAATTACTTGTATACCAATAATCCTAGAAAGCGATATTACTGACCACTTCTCCACTATTTTACTGATATCTTCAAATTAAAAACATCCCTACCGTTAATAACAACCAGGAAAATTACAAATTTTTTGTCGACAATTCAAAACTAATATCAAATGTCAAACAAGAATCCTGGGAACAATTATACTCTATAAATAATATA